GATAAATGAATGAACAGAAATCACTGACCAGTATGGGATCCAAGATGGCTGCCGGGACCGGTATGGTGTCAGCAGTGTGGCGTCCTAGTGCTGTAGCCCCGATCACTTTAGCAGGTCATAGACAGGTCATTTATCAGCTGAATTGTCGGCCAATAAACAAAATAATTGGTCGTTGCCGCCATGGATGCTGCCACCAATGGTCACGAAAAGATGGGACAGGAAACCAGAGACAGAGGAGCACACCATACAATGTGACAGCAATGCAAATACTTTATATTTTTTTGGATACAAATGGATACATTTGTTGCAACCGCAAGACTTTTTCATATAAAGTGCTTGCTGTGATATACCGGCCTCCTGGATCCATATCCCGCTTCCTGGATGACTTTTCCTCCTGGCTACCCTTCTTCCTCTCCTCTGAGCTACCCACCATCATCCTTGGGATTTCAACATCCCTGTCAACCTCGACAACCCGGACACATCCCATCTCCTCCACTTAACCTCCTCCTTTGCACTTGCACAGTGCATACAATCCACCACCCACTCCGACGGTAATATCCTTGATCTTGTCTTCTCCAACCGCTGCGCTCCCCACAACCTCACTAACACCCCCTTCCCTCTCTCTGACCACAACCTGATTACCTTCTCTATCTCCTCGTCCTCCAACGCCTACCCCTCCCAAATGTCACACTACTACCAGCCGTAACCTCCGCAACCTTAACCCTGCCCCCTCCACTCTGCAGCTGATCAACTCCATGACCGCATCCTCCCCCTGTCCTGCCCCGACTTGGCTATGACTGCCTACAACAATGCGCTGTCAACAGCCCTTGACTCACTAGCGCCTTTAACCACACGCAACATCAGACCCCGACCGCTCCAGCCCTGGCAGACTGATCACACCAAAACCCTCAAACGACACAGTCTTGCCCTGGAGCGACTATGGTGCAAAACCAAATCCCAACAAGCCTTCACCCGCTACAAATCTGCCTTCCACACCTACACCTCCTCCCTCCACGCAGCCAAACAAGCCTACTTCCTGACCCTCATCAAGGCCCTCTCCTCAAATCCTCGCCGACTCTTCTCCACCTTCAACTCTCTACTATCGCCACCCCCACCTCCACCCAGCACCTCACTCACTGCCCTTGAGATTGCCAATCACTTCAAAAACAAGATTGACACAATTCGCAAGGACATCGCCGCAACTCACACGCCCTCTCAAACCCGTCCCCTCTCACACAGCTACCCCCTCATCCCCCCCCCCCTCGACATAACCCGCAGGGACTTCATCGCTGCTCAAACTCCCTCCAACCCCGTTCCCCCTCACTCAGCTACCCCCTCATCACCCCTCTCCCACGGGCCCCACCACTGCTCTGACCTCCACTTCCACCCCACCCTACATTCCTCATACTGAAGCTCCCCCAACACTCCGCCTCTTTGACCTTACTACCATCGAAGAAGTCTCCAAGATCCTCTCTGATGCCCGCCTCACCACCTGCCCCCTCGACCCTATCCCCTCACAACTCCTACGACCTCCCTCCCCCTCCATCCTACGCTCCCTCACCCACATCTTCAATCTCTCCCTCTCCTCCGGCACTTTCCCCTCCCCTCTGAAACATGCACACATCACCCCCATACTTAAGAAGCCCTCCCTGGACCCCAATGACCCGAACAACCTCAGACCCATCTCCCTGCTCCCATTTACATCTAAATTTCTCGAGCGCCTAGTCTACACCCGCCTAAGCTCTCACCTCAACGACACACAACCTCCTCGATCCCCTACAGTCCGGCTTCCATCCCCTACACTCCACCGAAACTGCCTTACTCAAACTCTCCAACGACCTGCTAACCGCCAAAGCTAATGGCCACTATTCAGCGCTCCTACTCCTTGACCTCTCTGCGGCCTTCAACACAGTCGACCACCCCCTCCTCCTCAAAAAACTACACTCCTCGGCCTCAGAGATTCTGCTCTCTCCTGGCTCTCATCCTACCTGTCACATCATTTTCAGTGTTACCTATAATGCTACCACCTCCCCCTCACTCCCCCTCTCTGTTGGGGTCCCTCAAGGCTCTGTCCTCGGGCCCCTTCTCTTCTCCATCTACACCTCCTCCCTTGGCCAACTCATACACTCTCACGGCTTCAACTACCACCTCTATGCCGATGACACACAAATCTATCAACCCCCCACCTCACCCCCTCGGTCTCCGCCGAATCACACACCTACTGAGCGACATATCTGACTGGATGTCGCTCCACTTCCTTAAACTGAACCTCTCCAAAACTGAGTTTCTTGTCTTCCCCCCAGCCCGGACACCACCCCCCATTGACTTCTCCATCACATGTCCAACAACGCCACCATCAAACCCACCCCGCAGGCCAGAGTACTTGGTGTCATTCTGGACTCCAACCTATCCTTCTAGCCCCAAGTCCAATCTTTAACAAACTCATTCAGACTCCACCTCCGCAACATCGCCAAAATCCGCACGTTCCTAACCCCAGAAACCACTAAACAGCTCATCCACTCCCTCATCATATCACGACTCGACTACTGCAACTCCCTCCTCACTGGCCTGCCTTGCCGCTGGCTATCCCCGCTTCAGTCCATCCTGAATACGGCTGCCAGACTCATTCACCTTTCCAACCGCACTCCGTTTCCGCCACCCCCCTCTGCCAATCCCTCCACTGGCTTCCGATTGCGCAACGGATCAAATTCAAAATCCTAACACTGACGTACAAAGCTGTCCACCAACTGCCCCGAACTACATCACTGACCTAATATCCAAGTACCGCCCAGGACGCACACTGCACTCCTCACAAGACCTCCTTCTCTCTAGTTCCCTGGTCTCCTCCTCCCACGCCCACCTCCAGGACTTCTCCAGGGTGTCACCCATCCTCTGGAACTCCCTGCCCCAACCCGTCAGATTATCACCTACTGTCCTCTCCTTTAGGCGCACCCTGAAAACCCACCTCTTCAGGGAAGCCTACCCCACCCCCTGCTAACTTGCCGACCTCCTCCACTCTTCCTACCACTCCATCCCCCACAGCTATCTCCTCCTGTGCCACCATCCCCTCCCTCCTAGATTGTAAGCTCGAAAGAGCAGGGCCCTCGATCCCCTCATGTTTTGCATTGTATTGGTATTGTTCTGTCACATGTTCTGTCCCCCTTTGTAATGTACAGCGCTGAGCGAACTATTGGTGCTTTATAAATACTGTAAATAATAATAATAATAATTCAGGTGTCTCCCATTCCGATGATCAATTCACTTTAGCAGAATAAAATGTCCTCTTCTAGATGTGACAGTCTGCAATCGTCTTCTTCTTCATTCTTCTTCTTCTTCCTTTTTTTCTTTCTTCTTCTTTTTCCTTCTTCTTTTCTTCTTCTTCCCATTATTGCCAGGAAAATCGTCCGATTGTCCAAATCGGCCGCAACTTTTCCAACATGACCAATAAAAAAAACTGTGCAAAAACCCCCCAAAAAATGGCCGACCAATTAACCCACTAGCAGTGCGAAAAATCGGCCGATTTTTTTTTTTTCCCAAAAAATCAGCCGATTTTCGACCCCTCTATGGCCGGCATTTGTCTTTCTCTCTCTGTCTGTAAGCTTGATAAAGAGGGTCACCACGTTCTCCAAATGTTGGAGGAACTAAACTGCTGATCTAGGATTTCAGTAAATCCGGCATCACAATCTACTTCTCAGTGTTGGTTTCCTCCTCATTGCCGGCCATCATTTGGGCCTCAGAATGGCTCCGGTATTCCCCTCCTAGGAAGGACATTCAGGCCGATCTCCCACCATGTTCCTCTGATGTGTCCGAGACAGAATAACAGGAGAGACACCAGGAGAACCCGCTGGGACCTGACACTCCGAGAACCAGAGTTATGGTGGAGCGTAGACCCAGAAATGTCATCAGAATGCTGATACTCCTTCCTGGAGCCATTGCTTTGGCTCCACTTGTACTTCTACTTCCTCCGGGTTGAGGGGATAGAGGATCAAGAGGGTATGAAGCTGGGTCCTGACACTCCGAGAATTCAGGGTTATGGTGGAGCAGAGACCCTTCCTGACCAATCTCCTCCCCGGGGCCTTTGTACTGCCTCCACTTGTACTTCTATTTCCTTCACATTGAGGAGATGGAGAATCAAGTGGAGGGTATGAACAGGGAAGATGTTACAAACAACAGGGCCCCATACAGCAATCTGATAGGGCCCCTCCCCCCAAAAAAAGTTTAATATAATTTAGTTAGGAATGAACACAGTGAGTGCTCGGTACTGATCAATCATTCTGTTCATTCAGGAGAATAAGGGGCTGGTAAGTGTGACATATTTAGAGGACCTGTGCTCTTAGCTGTGGGAGGGAAGCAGAGGAGGGAAGCCGGAAGTACTGCAGCGGTGGGGGGCCCCGGGCAGCAAAAGGAAACATATGGTGCACAGGGAAGGTGATGGGTGTGGTGGTGGGGCAAAGGGGGAGGGGCAATTACTGGAACTGATCCCTTGTATAGCTCTATCTGCAGCTGAAATCCGGCCAGAGAGAGGAGAAGAAGCCGACTTTCAGCTGCTGCAGAAAGAGCCGTACAGGGGATCGGTTCCAGTAATTGCTGCCCCACCGTGCCGATCACCCTCCCTGCCCTCATCTGATTCATTCCTGTACATACCGATCACTGTCATACCCCCCATACTCCTCTCCTGTACATACCGATCACTGTCATACCCCTCCACACTCCTCTCCTGTACATACCGATCACTGTCATACCTCCACACTCCTCTCCTGTACATACCGATCACTGTCATACCTCCACACTCCTCCTCCTGTACATACCGATCACTGTCATACCCCCCTCCGTACATCCTCTCCTGTACATACCGATCACTGTCATACCTCCCCACACTCCTCTCCTGTACATACCGATCACTGTCATACCCCCCACTCCTCCTCTCCTGTACATACCGATCACTGTCATACCTCCCACACTCCTCTCCTGTACATACCGATCACTGTCATACCCCCCCACACTCCTCTCCTGTACATACCGATCACTGTCATACCTCCCTCCACTCCTCTCCTGTACATACCGATCACTGTCATACCCCCCATACTCCTCTCCTGTACATACCGATCACTGTCATACCCCCCACACTCCTCTCCTGTACATACCACTGTCACTGTCATACCCCCGCCCCTCCTCTCCTGTACATACCCATCACTGTCATACCTTCATACTCTCCTCATCCTGTACATACCTCACTGTCATACCCCCAAAACTCCTGTACATACACTGATCACTGTCATACATACCAGATCACTGTGTAACCCCCCACACTCTCTACTGTACATACCGATCACTGTCATACCTCCACACTCCTCTCCTGTACATACCGATCACTGTCATACCCCCCACACTCCTCTCCTGTACATACCCATCATATCACTGTCATACCCACCACACTCCTCTCCTGTACATACCCATCACTGTCATACCTCCACACTCCTCTCCTGTACATACCGATCACTGTCATCAGAATCACTACCCCCACACTCCTCTCATATACATCGTTACCCCCCATCACTGTCATACCCCTGACACACACTTCCTCTCCTGTACATACCACTGTCATACACTGTCCTCTCCTGGTGGCATGTCATACCACAGTCTCCTGTACATACCGATCACTGTCATACCTCCCACACTCCTCTCCTGTACATACCGATCACTGTCATGACCACCTCCACACTCCTCTCCTGTTACATACCGATCACTGTCATACCCCCACACTCCTCTCCTGTACATACCATCACTGTCAACCCCACACTCCTCTCCTGTACATACCGATCACTGTCATACCTCCACACTCCTCTCCTGTACATACCGATCACTGTCATACCTCCCACTACTGTACATACCTCCTCCTCCCTGTACATGTCACTGTCATACCGACACTCTGGTGTACATACCCCGTACTCCTCTCCTGTACATACCGATCACTGTCATACCTCCGGTGACTCCTCTCCTGTACATACCGATCACTGTCATACCCATACTCCTCTCCTGTACATACCGATCACTGTCATACCTCCCACATTCCTCTCCTGTACATACCGATCACTGTCATACCTCCACACTCCTCTCCTGTACATACCCATCACTGTCATACCCCCAGGCTCCTCCCAAACTCCCTCTCCTGTTGTACATACCGATCACTGTCATACCTCCACATTCCTCTCCTGTACATACCGATCACTGTCATACCTCCACACTCCTCTCCTGTACATACCGATCACTGTCATACCTCCGTACTCCTCTCCTGTACATACCGATCACTGTCATACCTCCCGTACTCCTCTCCTGTACATACCGATCACTGTCATACCTCCGTACTCCTCTCCTGTACATACCGATCACTGTCATACCTCCGTACTCCTCTCCTGTACATACCGATCACTGTCATACCTCTGTACTCCTCTCCTGTACAAATGTCAGTGCCCCTTCTGGTCTTACCTGTATCCTGTATCTGCGAACCCTGTGAATTGTAAGTTGCTGACCCGGATTGTGCTTTGACCTTGCTGTATTTCTCCTGCCCTGACCCTTGCTTTGCCTGACCTCTCTCTTGAATGCCCCCTATTGGATCTGACCTGCTGTTGCTGACCTGGCGTGTGACCCGACTATTCTCTGCCCGCTGCCTTGTACCGTACCGTCCTCCCTGTTACCGACCCGGCTTATCTGACCTCGCACCTGCTCAGCCATCCATCCATCCGTCCATCCCTCCCAGTGGGGTCTTCTGACCTCCTCATATCAGGCTCTTCCCCGCGGGGAGCCCTCGGTGATTACCACTACCACTAACGGGTTTGCCCAGTAGTCACGACCTGGTCTCGGGGGCTCCAAGTCCATCCCCACCATCAGGGACCCTGGAGAACAAGCACCCTGGGACTTAGACTCCGTGCTCTGGGAACGCCTATTTAGTGGAGTGCTAGTGGTACCAGCCGGGTGGTCCCTTACAGTACCAGAAGGCCATGACGGAGCCTCGAGGAGGACCCTCCCCGCTGGAGGAAGTTTGTAGGCACCTGGCTACCTTGACGCAAGCTGTAAATGTATTACAGGACAGGTGTTTACAGATTGAAAATCGGTTCCAGGCCTGCACGATATCTGCCCCTGCACCGCAGTCCCCCGACCCCTGCACCTCCGCCCGTAGTGGCCCTGAGCCTGCTTCAGGGGTCCCCGCATCACTTCCTATGGCCGAACCCGAATCCCCGGGTACCCCTACCGAGCATTTTTACACGGGGACCGCACACGCTTCAGGTCGTTCCGTGAATCCTGCCTTCTCTATTTTGAGTTACAAAACCTCGTACCTTTTTTGACGAAATCAGTAAAGGTGGGGTTTGTCATCTCCCTCCTGCAGGGTGAACCCCAAGACTGGGCCACCGACTGAGAGGAACAATGACCCCCACCTAGGCTCAGTTAACGGTTTTTTTTACGCAATGGCCATCTTATATGATGACCCACAGCGGGCAGCTTCGGCCGAAGCAACCTTGTACACACTCCGGCAGGGCCGACGGGCGGTGGAGGAGTACGCCTCTGATTTTAGGCGTTGGATGGGGGACACACGCTGGAACGAGTTTGCCCTTGTGCACCAGTTCCATATGGGGCCTGTCAGAGGCCCTGAAAGACGAGCTCGCACCGGGTAGAAATGCCTGAGGCGCTAGAAGACTTAATTGCACTAACCATCAAGATTGACCGTAGACTGCGGGAACGCAGATTTGAGAGGTCCGGTCAGGGTCGCGGAGGTACCTGGGGGTCTTTCCAGGGTCCCAGCCAATCCACTAGGCCACATTTCCTGAACCCACCACCGGAGGATACTCCTGAACCCATGCAGCTAGGCCTGGCACGACCTAAGCTATCTCCAGAGGAAGGCCAGCGCAGACGCTCCCAGAACCTATGCCTCTACTGTGGTGAAGCTGGTCACACGGTACAATCCTGCCCGCAGAAACTGAGTAAGTGCACCTCTTCTTCTCCTTATCTGTTGGCGATGTTAATTCTTCCCAATACTTAGTTGTACCCCTCTCCTTTCAGCTTCCAGAAAGGACCGTGGAAGTGACAGCCATAATTGACTCGGGGGCATGCAGCTGTTTTGTAGATATTAATTTTGCTCGCCAGCAGGGTATTCCCCTCCAACCAAAAGAAAAGGGGTTCAACATATTTCTGGCCGATGGGTCCCGGATAAGATCAGGGGTGGTTAACCAGGAGACCCCTTCCATTGCCACCACCATTGCCAGCCAACACCAGCAACTCCTCCACTTGGATGCCATCGCATCACCCCTTTTTTCCAGTCATTCTGTGGCTTCCGTGGTTACGGGCTCATAACCCCCAGATTGACTGGAAAACCAGGGTAGTCTCATTCCCTTCCCATACTGTCGGGAACACTGCCGCACTTCGGGCCGGGGGTTCCCCAGGTCCTCGTGTGCTTGGAAGGGGATGCCGACTTAAGGCAGGTCATTCCTGCAGCCTACCATGAATTCCTTGATGTATTCAGTAAACGGGGAGCAGATACTCTACCCCCCCACCGCCCGTATGACTGTCCTATCGACCTGTTACCTGGCTCAGAGATCCCTTTTGGGCGGATCTTTCCCCTTTCGGAGCTCGAATTAGGGGCCCTGAGGGAATACATTGAGGACAGCCTTCAGAAGGGATTCATCCGCCCCTCTACCTCTCCAGGCAGGGGCAGGGATTTTCTTTGTAGAAAAAAAGGACAAGACCTTGAGACCGTGTATTGATTACCGGGAATTGAATAGAGTTACAATCAAAAATCGTTACCCCCTGCCATTGGTACCAGAGTTATTTCAGAGTTTAAAGGCTGCAGTGGTGTTCACAAAACTGGATTTAAGGGGAGCATACAACCTGGTTCGCATAAGGGAGGGGGACGAGTGGAAAACAGCATTCCGCACCCGCTTTGGCCACTTTGAATATCTGGTCATGTCGTTCGGTCTGTGCAATGCACCGGCCACTTTTCAACACTTTGTGAACAACATTTTTAGGGACTTCCTGGATGTCTTTGTTATCGTCTACCTAGACAATATTTTGATTTTTTTCACCTTCTCTGGGGGAGCACAGAGTTCATGTAGCAAGGGTATTAGGGCGGTTGCGGCAGCACGGCTTATACGCCAAAGCTGACAAATGTTGCTTTGAACAGTCTAGCATTACTTTTCTGGGTCTGATTATCTCCACCGCGGGGTCGTCGCGATGGACCCCCAGAAAGTCTCTGCAATACTGGATTGGCCTGAACCCACAGACAGGAAGGGCGTCCAACGGTTTGTCGGGTTCGCAAACTTTTACCGCAAGTTCAAAGAACTTCTCGGGTCTGGTCTCCCCCATTACTCAGCTAACCAAGCTTGGAACTCGATTCAGGTGGAAACCGGAGGCACAGGAAGCTTTTGAAGCTTTGAAGAAGCTATTCACTTCGGCACCCATCCTGGGTCACCCCAATGCCGCCTTACCCTACATCTTGGAGGTAGATGCATCAGAGAATGCGGTAGGTTCCATCCTATCCCAGCGAAAGGGCACCAGGGAATTGCTCCATCCCGTGGCATTCTTCTCACGGAAACTCACCCCGGCGGAAAGGAACTACGATATCGGCGATCGTGAACTTCTGGCTATTAAGACAGCGTTAGAGGAATGGAGGTACCTGCTGGAAGGTGCCTCACACCCCATCTTGATCTTTACGGATCACAAGAATCTGGAGTACCTGAGGACCGCCAAACGCCTACGCCCACGACAGGCGAGATGGGCATTGTTCTTCTCAAGATTCAATTTCCACATTACATACAGGCCGGGATCAAAAAATACGAAGCCAGATGCGTTGTCACGCATGTACGAGGACGCCAAGGAAGTCCCAGCGCCCGACACTATCCTGTCTTCGGGAAACTTCTTGGCGCTCCAGACGGACCTTCGTTCCAAGATAATGGAGGCATCCACGGCCATACCCATCCCAGCCGGGGTGCCCCTCCAGAACAAGGGGGGACTCCTATGGAAGGAAGATCGGATTATGGTGCCAGAGGAAATCCGAACCCTGGTCTTGGGCCATTGCCATGACCACCGGATGGCAGGGCACTTTGGCTCGGCCAAGACCCTAGAGCTCCTCCGACGCTCCTTCTGGTGGCCTGACATGGCGAAAGATTGCAAACACTACGTTTAACTCCTGCATCACCTGCCAGAGAAACAAACCAGCAAGGTGCAAGGCTTGGGGTCTTCTGCGGCCTTTACCGATTCCCGAACGGCCTTGGCAGAAATTTCAATGGATTTTTATAGTTGAGCTCCCACCTTCACTAGACCACAGAGCAATCCTTATGGTCGTGGACCGTTTACCTAAGATGGCCCACTTCATCTTCATCAAGACTCCGTCGGCAGCCGAAACTGCGCGAGTATTCATTCAAGAGATTGTAAGACTGCACGGGGTCCCTGAAGACATTGTCTCAGACCGAGGGGTTCAGTTCACCTCAAGATTTTGGAGGGCTCTGTGTAAAGCTCTGAACATCCAACTGTCCCTCTCTTCTGCATTCCACCCTCAGTCCAACGGACAGACCGAAAGAACCAACCAGACTCTGGAGCAATATCTGCGCTGTTATACATCTTTTGCCCAGGATGACTGGATACCACTTCTACCCTTGGCGGAATTCGCGTACAACAACGCGTGCCATTCGGCAACGGGGCAGTCCCCGTTCTTTTCCAAATATGGGTTTCACCCTACCTTCCTCCCGGACTTGGTCCCTGAATGCCCAATTCCAGCAACACAGGATACATTGACGTTCTTCTCCTCGAACAACAAGAAGCTACAGGAAGCCATCATTCGGGCCCAAGAAGACTACAGGAGGGCATTTAACAAGAGACGAAGGGGAGATCTGGTGTTGCGACCCAGAGAGAAGGTTTGGTTGTCTACATCCAACTTAAAGATGCTTTGCCCCTCAAAGAAATTAGGCCCTAAATTTATAGGACCCTTTTGCGTTAAGCGGATGGTCAACATGGTGGCTTACGAACTTGTCCTCCCTGACACACTCAAAATCTACCCAGTCTTCCATGTGTCCCTACTGAAACCAGTGGTCCCAGATGCCTTCCCTGAACGAGAATCTAGACCTCCGGAGGCCATAACGATTGAACGGGAAGAAGAATTTGAGGTGGAAACAATCCTGAAGTGCCGAAGGAGGGGGGGCCAGACCCCAATTCCTAATCAAATGGAAGGGCTATGGCCCTGAGGACAATTCTTGGGAACCAGCCCATAATGTCCATGCACCCAGACTTGTCCGGAGGTTTTTCGCGATCACCCGTGGTGGAGAGATCGGATGGGCATCCGGAGGTTGCCCGTAGGGGGGGGCAATGTCAGGGATCTCCTCGATCCCCGCCGCGATGGTCCCGGCGCAGGTGCAGTGTGCCGCCCTGTGCAGGGACTCGGGCACTAG